ACTGCCAGGGACAGCATCCACTCCAAAGGTATGGACACTGGGTGGATTTAAATGAAAAAAAATTAATTGGTGAGTGTATGAGAAAATTTGTGTGTATGTGTGTGTCTGTCAGTGAGTGTGTTTTTGTCGGTCAGTGAGTGTGTTTGTGTGTCTGTCAGTGAGGGTGTTTGTGTGTCACTGGTTTGTGTGTCTGTCAGTGAGTGAATGTGTTTTGCAAAAAAAGTAATGATGGTCCTGGCACTCAAGTTCAATCCAGTGAGTAGATTTTATTGAAGCAGCATAAAAATAACGTTTCGGCCCACAATAGGTCCTTTGTCGAGCTTGACATATATTTATTTAAATATAGGCCACCAGGCCATCCAATACCGTAAGACTACAGTCTCCCATTTGGACTCCATAGACACAGCTACAGGCCCACACTTGTCCGAGTTACATCCCAATGCTCCCACGTGACTACAGGTTCATTTGCTCCCAGGTAACGACCGAAGGCAAAGTATGATAGACACCAGAGGACAGAGAGGAGCTGAGACTCGAACCCTTAAACCTTCAATTCCTTCCCCTCAGAATCCACCATCCACCTACCGTCCTATAGTTTCACACATGGACTTATACTTGTCTCGTGTTATTTTTATTTTTTTGAAACTGAGCATCCCGGTGATATTCAAGCTTGAATAAGGAGAAATACTAATCCAGGCACTTAGAGACTGAGTCCCACCTATTTACATTATTTAGACTTTATTTTGTGTTTGCTGCTATTGCCTTAAGGTATATGTATTTTATATAATTTTTTTAAGTTTTATCTAAAACTAGACCCTATATCTCTGTCTATTTTATCATTACTCAAGGGTTCTTGGAGAGAATTTCCCTTTTTAGGTGTGCTGCCCCCTTTTCTCCACTATAAATTTATGCTGCGCTCCTACAGCCTGGCTCTTTCCGCTGCAAAAGTAAGTTAGTTTAACACCCTCATAAGTACACTGTCCCATCAATCCACACACCTATTTCACACTTTTGATGCTCTTCATCACCCTTTTAATCCCCCTCCTTCTACCCCCTTGTCCGCCACAAACTTTGCATCTCACTTCACTGAGAAGATCTCTACAATCAGAGAAGAGATCGCTAATTTCTCTCCTTCCCCTACCAATACATCATCCAACCCCACTCCTTCCACCATTCTACACTCATTCGCACCTGCTACAGCAGAAGAGGTTTCTACTCTGCTCCGGTCCTCCCGCCCCACCACCTCGATCCTATTCCTTCATATCTCATCCACACTTTGTTTCCCTCTCTTGCTTTTCCTCTCACTAAAACTTTCAATCCCTCCCTTTCCTCTGGCACATTTCCCTCACCCTTCAAACATGCAACTGTAACCCCGATTCTGAAAAAGACCAGCCTTGACTCCAACTCCCCATCCAACTACCGCCCTATCTCTCTACTGCCATTTGTTTCCAAGATCCTTGAGAGAGTTGTGTACACCAGACTGACTGACTTTCTCGAAACCAACTCTGCTTGACCCCCCTCAGTCTGGATTCCGCGCTGGTCATTCTGTCAAAACAGCTGTGACCAAAGTATCCAACGATTTAATTGCTGCTAAATCTCGCAGCCATTACTCTATCCTAATTCTCCTTGATCTTTCTGCTGCCTTTGACACTGTTGATGATCAATAGCGTCTTCGCATTCTCCATAATTTTGGTCTACGGGATACTGCTCTCTCCTGGTGCTCCTCCTACCTCTCCCAGGGCTCTTTCAGTGTTTCTTTCTCTGACTCTGCCTCTTCGCCCCAACCACTCTCTGTCGCCGTCCTCCAAGGTTCTGTCCTTGGTCCCCTACTGTTCTCTATCTACACTGCCTCCCTTGGTAAACTCATCAGCTCCTTTGGCTTCTGTTATCATTTCTATGCAGATGACACGCAAATCTACCTATACTCTCCTGATCTCTCTCCACCCATCTTGACTCGTGTCTCTGACTACCTCTCAATTTCCAAATGGATGGCTGCTCACTTCCTTAAACTCAACATGTCCAAAACAGAACTTCTGGTCTTACCTCCCTCAAGTGTCTGTCTCCCTCCAAGTCAGCTGCACTACCATCACCTCTACCTCGCAGTCTCGTTGCCTGGGTGTTCTTTCTGACTCCAACCTCTCCTTTACCCCTCATGTCCAATCAATCACCAAATCCTGTCGCTTCCATCTCAAAAACATAGCGCGCATCTGCCCCTATTTAACCCGAGATGCAGCTAAGGTGCTGGTCCATGCTCTTGTTCTCTCTCATCTGGACTACTGCCAATACCCTTGTCAGTGGTCTTACATGTTCCCAGATTGCACCGTTGCAATCTATAATGAATGCAGCGGCAAGGCTCATTTTCCTGTCCGCTCGCACCTCCCACGCCTCCCTGCTCTGTCAGTCCCTGCATTGGCTTCCAGTTAGATATAGGGCTCAATTTAAAATTCTGGTGCTTGCTTACAAGTCCTACATAATGCTGCTCCAACCTACCCTACATTCCTAATAAACAAGTATGTCCCGTCAAGGCCCCTACACTCTGCCAAAGACCTATGTATATCCTATGTCCGTACACCCACCTCTAACGCTCGCCTCCAAGACTTTTCCAGGGCTGCACCTCTTCTGTGGAACTCCCTTACCTTCTCTGTAAGAATTTCACCCAGTCTCCACTCATTCAAAAAAAATCTTTGAAAACTCACTTCTTCAAGAAAGCATATCAATTAAACGGTTAGCAGGTTTTTATCCCCCACCCTCCATGACTCCTCTTCTGCAACTGTCAAAATTACCTACTAAGCCCTCTGTGAATATTTTTCTAACAACCAACTTTGTACCCCTACTTTTACCCTTTGTATCACTATACTCCACTCCCTCTAGAATGTAAGCTCATTGAGCAGGACCCTCCACCTCTCTGCTACTGTACGTCCAGTTGTCTTGTTACAATTACATGTCTGTTAGTCCACCCATTGTACAGCGCTACGGAATCTGATGGGGCTATATAAATACTATAATATAGCGCTGCCCGATTTTCTCTTCTTTTATGTCCTCATATTAACCCATACATATAGCAGGATATATAGTCACTATAAAATACTCTTCCTGTTTTGTTTACATTTTGTCTTATATGTTTATATTGGCGGTACGGATTGCCAGCTGGCAAATACGTAAGGATTAGCAATCCACGACCAGACATAAGATTACATTAGAAAACAGCCAACCCATGTGCTAAACTACAAGCAATTTGGGAGTGCTATTATAGCTTATTTTATATATGCGCAATTTACCCTCCCAATTAATAGACTGCATTAAGGATTAATAGGCACCACTTATTCCTGGTTGTCTGGCTTAGATGCATGTGGCATCAGCGACATCTAGTGGCTATTATTTACATATAATCAACATTACTTTAGAACAGTTGCAACTGAATTTGATACAGCCAAACGTTGTAGCAGAAACTTTTAACATATTAACAATATATCTTCTTGGTTTACATACTATATCAGTGGTAGTCTACCTTTTTCTACCTACCGCCCACTAATGCATCTTTTTGGTTGAAAAAATTTCCTTACCGCCCACCAGTTTTCACACGAGTGCGGAATATTCTTTAGAAAGGAGGGTGTTTTAAAAAAAATAAATGTACATACATTTATCTTTTTATTTCTACTTAATGCATGCTTATAATGTTTTTAACTTTATAAAGTTTAATGAGAAAACAATAAAGTAAATTGAAATTATCTTTACTAGTGATTAATGAGATCCTTGAGGTTGATGCTGCAAGACTAAATATTTTATATCTGGTTCGATTTTCGTATGGAACAAACGAAGGTCTCCTCTTTCGGTAATATTCAGACGACTTCTCTGTTTGGGCATAATATGATTTCTCATCTGTGCGTAAGCCCCCCTCCTCTCCCTCCTCAATTCCCCTCCCCACCTTTTTTCCCCCTTTTTTTGTTTTAACCTTCCTTATATCCCACTTACTATTACTTACTATAGCCCACTATAACAGACAGGCACACATACATACATACAGATACACACACACACATACACACACACACATACATACACACATACAGACAGACAGACAGGCACACACATACATACAGACACAGACAGGCACACATACAGACACACACACACAAGACACATACATACAAACAGACACACACAGGCATGCATACAGACACACACAGACATGCATACAGACACACATAAGACATACATACAAAGGCACATACACACAGACAGACACAAGACACACATACATACATCACACATACATACAAAGACACATACACACAAAGACAAGACACACACATACATACAAAGACACATACATAAGACACACATACAGACACACATACATACATACAAAGACATACACACACATACAGACACACACATACAGACAGACACACACATACAGACAGACACATACATACAGACAGACACATACAGACAGACACATATATACAGACAGACACAGACACACACAGGGCCGCCACCAGAAATGTTGGGGCCCCTAATTCAGCTAAGGGTCTGGGCTCAGGTGGATGGTAGTCAGAGTTCTCACTCTGACTCCCTGGTCTTCCTCCCGCGCGGCTGTCAGTGTTAGCCGGGAGGAGTGATGTGCAGTCACTTCCTCCCAGCTCGGTGATATAATCACAGGGGGCCCGGTCACGCTGTTAAAGTGCCCAGCGCTGACCGGGCCCCCTTACAATCCACATCCATCAGGTGACCCTGACAGCATGGAACCCTCATTTGCGGCCCCAGTGGTTTGCCGCGCGGGCCGGGGCCGCAAATGGTGATGGCGGTACCCGGTCGCAGGGGTACCGACGGCTTGCTCACACCCGCCCGCCCGGTCTCTCAAAATTAGAAAATCCCTACTGCCCACTTGGAATCCTGAAACGCCCACTAGTGGGCGGTAGGGACCAGGTTGACGACCCATGTGCTATATAATTTGATGGAATAACTGTTGTTCCTTCTCGAAAATGCTTTTTTAGGAAACTGTTTAACCATTTCTTTATGGAGTTCACTCCAGACTGACTGTCAAGATTGCTGTTAATTTTATAACATGACAGGAGGCTTCATGTTTGCTTAAGTCTCTCTTTACTAGAACTCCACAGAAGCACATTAACACAGAGAAAAACAACCAATCAGAAAAAAGTTGGGTACTATAAAACTCCCCTCCCCACACATAATTTCCTTTTTCTTTGCTGTACCACATCAGTACAGGTCAGAGTACCACTGCCTCCTGCTTTTAGCGGGTGGCTGTGGGATTTTACTGCTTAGCTACAGTACCTTATATTAGTTTATTTGGGGATTTACTGGTTTTCTGTATACTTATTTTATGCTTTCACTTATTACTTTATTTGATAGATTGTAATTTGGATTCGTGGGGGTCTTTGTGGGCCTTTCTGTTGCTTAATATACCTTTGGGTTTCTCTCCCCCCCCTGCATCCTCCCTCCCCCCATCTATTTCCACTGTCTCAATCTCCTATCTACCCCCCGTTTTTCATTTCCGGGCTGTATGTGGTTGCTCGGAGGTTTCAGGAGTCTGACTGCATCTGCCTCCTCTGATCCTCCTGAGCTCCGGGACCACGGAGTGAGTCTCCAACGGTCCCGTGTGCTGTCTACCGGTCCCTGGTGTACTCGCGAGCTAGCACGAGTACCCGGCGGCAGAACATTTTTCCAAGTGGCTGCTTTGCCGCAGCCGGCTCCTTATACGGACCACGTGTGCCCGACCGGGTGGAGGAGGCTGCGCCTGCTCACTGCCCCTCCCCCGTCTGTTATCTCCTCAGTGGTATGCGTTATACCTGTGCTGCACTGGGATTTCTGGAGCTTGGATATGCCTGTGGTTGGCTGCAGGGCTTTAGGGGACTGCCAGTTGCCTGGTTAAGTGTTAGACTCATATTGTGTCACTGCCTAAAAAGCTTATGTGTATTGTGGTCTTTAGCACCAACATGCCCTGTGGATCTGCAAATATATCTGGAGACTCTGCTCACACACATTGGTCCTTTGCTGCTGTCTTAATACAGCGCCCGTGATTGGCCTGCTCTGTCTGTGCCCATTTGATTGGCCTGCTCTGTCTGTGTCCTATTGATAGGCCAACGCTTGTCTGTGCCCAAGCCCCCCTTTTTATACCTAGGTGGTTGTAGCAACGTCAGGTATTGTTCTTGGTTTTCTGTTGGGTTTACCTGTTTTTTGCTTCTCCTGTCCATTATATCGCCTTCCCTCTGAGGTATGTATTTTTGCTTTATCTGAACTTTATTTTTAGTTTCTGTCGTTTCTTTGTTTCGTGTCTTCCATTTTTTTCCTCTCGCTCGGGACGTCAGGAATCCTTTTTTTTTACTATTAGCGGGTACGGCTCTCTCATACTGGCAGCCTGATGCTGGCATGGATACCGATTACGTTATTAGAGAGTGCGGCTCTCTCATACACTCAACCCGCTCCTGGGCTCCCATCATATGCACAGCCCAATATGACTACTTCTACTGTCCCCATCAGTTTACCGGTTGCGTTGCAGTTTATTACAGTGCTGGATGCTGTTTCCCTTCTTGGAGGGCGAATCCATCTCCGGAAGCTGCTCAACATGGTTATTTTTCCTGATACTGTCGACCTTTGATCATCTTGCACTGCTTAGGCCAATACAGGACACCGATGTCTTCTTGGAGGGGCGTCCCTCCGACCTTCAATTCAATATGGAGGTCTATGCTACATACCGTGTTTTACCGCTGATGCTACAGCTCTTGCAATAAGGGCTATGGCTTCCTCACCACAAGGTCTAGGAGAAGCTGCTTTGTAGCGTCTAGTTAAGAGGAGAGAGCCCCTTCATTAAATCTCACGACTGGCCTACTACTTATTTTCTTTCTATAGGTGCTACCTGATTGGGCATGGTATTGCCCGTTTAAATGGGCTTCCACTGTTACGACTCCTATAATTGGTCTGCTGGATCTGTGTCACTGTATCCTCACTCGGGATATACTCTCTGAGGTATTACTGGGGGAGATTCCTTATTTACACGTTTCCCTGATACCTTATTGTACAGGGTATAGACCATTTTTAACTGGCCGTCTCTGGCACAACTACTGTGCTTGGCCCACTTTGTTGATGCACCTATACCTCCATACTGGATATACTCCTGGAGGTTATACTGCTATCGGGTGAGCCCCCAATTATTGCAGGTGTGTAGGTTTTGGTATTGTGACGAGACCAATCTCGCCACATTGCATTGGAGAAGCCTGGTTGCTCGCCTGCTGCCTTTGGACTATGGCCCCCTGTTAAAAGACATCTTTTTTTCCTGCAGAAAAGCTTAATTCGTGCTTTTCTGCCTGGGGTTCGGTAGATTTGTTTGAATGTGTTATACCCCAGATAGGAATCCCATGGAGCCCATTCGTATGAAACTGACTGTAAAGACTTTGGCTACATGGCGATTAAACTGTATTCGTGTGGTCTGAGCGCCATTCACTTAATAATGTGCGCTCAGACCTGAGCTATCTGGGGATATGTTACATGTCTGTGTTTTATGTAATAAATGTTACTTTATGTATTTTAAAGTGTTTTGTGTCTTTTTGCAACCATGTGCTTAATGGAGTCTTGTGTCTGTCCTGGGAGATAATTGAATTACTTATCTCCAGGATAGAAGACTCTGAAACTGGTTTGGGCCAGAAAGCCATGCTTCATTTAGTCACAAAGGACTTTTTACTAACTTTTGAACCCCTTGTCTGATTTGTGCCATTTTTTAATATGTTGCTCCCCTGAATGGATTGATTCCAAATATGTAATTTTATGTGAATGTGATGTATGGTTTTAGAGTTATGAAAGTTGGGTAGAAAGTATGTTTTAACTGTATGTGTAATTGAGTTTCCTCTCAGGATAAGGGGAGGGAATATGTGGGATGTAGCTGTGATGTGATTGGTTGTTTTGTACCTCCCTGTGGGCGGTCCTGTATTTGCAAGACTGTAATAAAAACCAGGCTGGGTGTGCCAGCACCTCAGACCACTGCTTGACCCTCAACACGGAGCCTTGTCTCGTTCTTGGGGGGATTCACTGTATGCTGTTAGAGACTGATTGCCAGGAGTGTAAGCTGTTCGTCTGCTTTTCCTGTTCATCTGCTAGCAGCTATTTGGGAGGTTCCAGTTCGGGAGTTGGAGTGCTATTTTGTATCCAGTTCGTGAGTTTTGGTGTTCTGCAGTAGCTGTGCCTGGATCTCTGGAAAGGGGGCCGATCGCCTAAACGGTTTTTACCCCTTGTGTGCAAAACGGTCCGTTACACCTTCCTCTATACAACTATCCCCTCACTTGAGCCCCACTGGTTTTGATCTTTCCCTCACCTACCAATTCAGGATTCAGGTACCGACAAAAATGACAGCTTGGTTTCTATGGGGGGAACCCCTATTTGATGTTGAATCCTACACAGATGTCACAAAGTCGGTACGCAGTCTCCCGCTGGAGTACTGTTCAGGGCCTGTATCTGGTTCGGCTCTGACTACCCGACGTTCTCAACCTGGACAGTCCCTGCTTCGGACAGTTGAAGCTATGCCCCCTTGTTTTCGCTTTATCTATTCTCTGGAGTCAGCTGTCATTAGCGAAGGGACTTTCCATTCTATCTACGTTTTAGACAACGCTATGCCTTCATATGGATGCCTAGACTTCAGACCTCGATACCTGGGTACCTTGGCCTAAGGCCTATGTAGCGGAGAGGCAGTATAATCCACAATATCTCCGCTGGGTAACAGGAATAACATAAAATAATTCAGGGGAATAAGCACAGCATACAATAATCCCGGTAGCGTTGTAGTAATCCTTCCTTCCCAAGAACTAGACGACACATAGGCTGGGAGTCAACTGAGGTTTTATTCACAGGACACTGTATTTATGGGATTCCCCATGCAAGGGGTTTCCCTACTGACATTACAGGGGTTGTACAGTAGGGGACTACATGGGGAACTGCCCAACACATACATTTCTCCCATCGTGCACTGCTGGACGAGAGGGATACTCCCACTGGAATATACAGTTAATGGGATTATCCCTCCGTGCAGCTGAACTTACATTTTACATTAAAATCCATAACTTTAATAATATTCACTTGTTTTACACGAATGGACGTTCAGTAGATAGCTGGAGGCTGAGCGCATAGTTCGTGGAAATACCGCTCAGCTCCCAGTCTAACTAAACGAACGCCGTACGAAATATACATTATTTCCAACATACGGTTAAAATAGCGATTGATATTAGGTGAACAAACTACCGAATGGCCGGGGCTCCCGAACGGCCTGGAAGTCCAGCGGGGTTCGCGCCCACGAGTAGTCGTTTTTAGTTCCAGGCGCTCTACGGCAAAACCCCGCTGGGCTAACAAAGGAATCAAGATGGCCGACCGCCGCGTGGTCGGTAGCCGAACGACGGCCACCTAGGGAAGTCTTTAACTACCGATTGCAACAATGTTGCATTTGGATAATGGGCGTAACACGACCTCCTGTGTGTGGTCGACTGTTCGGTAGGTCATTCGTTTCACGAACAGTGTTTAAACTCACTGTTCGTGAAACTGCATAGGCAATGCTGGGTTTCACGTATTACAAGGATACGAACGCTCTTGTTCGCTTGAACGCCCCATACTACATTACACTTGGTTCTTACAGCCAGCAAACTTTATAATATCCACACATGCAATAGTCTTAAGTGGCTAGGTTTGCCACAATGCTCCCCCAGAACCAAGCCGGCATACACAGTCTGATCCCAACGGATCGGCTTGGGGATGTCCGGAGGAGCACTCATGGATCACGGTTCCAAGTCTGTTTGTCGGGACAACCCATTGGCGTTGCCATTTTGCTTCCCAGGGTGATAGTGGATTGTAAAGTCAAAAGGCTGCAGCACCAAACTCCAGCGCAGCAGCCTGGCATTGTCTCCTGACACCATGTTCAGCCACACCAACGGGTTGTGATCCGTGAGTAATGTAAATGGTTGTCCGTATAAATAGGGCTGCAATTTTTTGAGGGCCCACACCACAGCCAGGCACTCCCTTTCAATGGCGGCGTAGCTTACTTCCCTGGGTAAAAGTTTTCTGCTTAGGTAAGCTACGGGGTGCTCGCCGCCATCTGCTCCGACTTGGCTAAGTACTGCTCCCAATCCAAACATAGAAGCGTCTGTATGGACGAAAAAACGTTTAGTTGGATCAGGAGCAGAAAGTACAGATGAGTTAACAAGTGCCGTCTTGAGCTGTTGAAATGCCTGCTCACACTCTGGGGCCCAGACTACTAGCTTAGGGAGATTCTTACGGGTCAAATCAGTGAGGGGTTTGGCGAGGCCACTGTAGTTGGCCACAAATTTCCGGTAGTACCCGGCGGTCCCTAAGAAGGCGAGTACTTGGGTCTTGGTGCGAGGGGTTGGCCATTGGGCGAATGCCTCTATTTTAGCAGGCTCTGGTTTCTGTTGTCCGCTTCCTACCCTGTGCCCTAGGTACTGAACTTCTGCCATCCCTATATGGCATTTGCTGGGTTTTAGGGTCAGTCAGGCTTCCCGGATCCAGTCTAGTACAGCTCCTATGTGGGTCAGATGTTCGTGCCAGGAGTAGCTGAATATGGCGATATCATCCAGATACGTGCATGCATCCTCCTGGAACCCATCCAATAACCTGTCTACCATCCGCTGGGGCATTTTTCATCCCGAATGGCATGACCTTAAACTGGTACAGGCCAAGCGGGGTGACAAAGGCAGACTTGGGAATAACGTCTTCTGCTAACGGAATTTGCCAGTAGCCCTTGCACAGATCTATCGTAGTGAGGTACTGGCCCCCAGGGCCGGACTGGCCCACTGGGATACCGGGAGATTTCCCGGTGGGCTGCGGCACCTGGGGGGCTGCAAGGCCACATATGTGCCACCGGGTGGCCAGTCCGGTGGCACACTGAGAGGGGGCCGGCCGCGTTCCAGACTGGAGCCGCCGGGCTGGGTGGCAGCTTCGCCGGTCCGGCGGCACTCCAGTCACTGGCTGCTGATGGAGGAGGAGCCTGTCTACCATGCTCCCTCGCGGTGTGGGAAACGCGAGGGAACATGGTAGACAGGCTCCTCCTTCCATCAGCCATCAGCAGCCAGTGACTGGAGTGCTGCCGGACCGGGGAAGCTGCCACCCGGCCCGGCGGCTCCAGTCTGGAACGTAGCCGGCCCCCTGCCTTCTTTAAGGTAAATTGGGGGCAGGGAGGGAGCAAGAGGGGAGAGACACAGGGAAAGGGGGAAGGGAGGGAGAGACACAGGGAAAGGGGGGAGGGAGAGGGGAGAGACACAGGGAAAGGGGGTAGGGAGGGAGAGGAGTTTTGGGTCAGCCTGTGCTTAGTACGACTGATGCCTAAGTGCCCAGACAGGGGAATATCGTGAGCGATACGTAATAACTCTAACCTATATTTCCGAGGCACTATTAGTTACTTAATGAGTAAAGGTATAGATCCGGACACTACCTTTTCTGCGTGTCGATACAGTAGTCCTTTGTCCCAGATATACCTTTCCCCTTCTAATCCTGCCTGATATTTATCAATACGGTCTTTGTACACCTGTAGGGAGGGGTCTAGGGCCACTTCTGACCCAAACTCTAGGGGGTTGGCCCATGGCATGACAGTGGGCATGGGGGGGTCATTGCTTACCTGAGCCTCAGAGTGGTTGGATGGTGCTGTGGTGCGAGCCTGTTGTCGGGTCACAACCGGATATGCCTCCTGTACTGTGGGCTGTGGAACAAATGCTGAAGTCAGCTCCCCCAAGTCGTTGCCCAAAATCACATCAGCTGGCAAGTCCTGCATCATCCCCACATACACATTCCCGTGCCCCGCTCCCCAATTCAAGTGTACCTTGGCCGTAGGTACTTTGTAAATGGCTCCCCCTGCCACCCGTACTGCAACACAGTTTCCAGTGAGATTGGGTTTGGGTACCAAATGACTTCGGACTAAAGTTAAGGTAGCCCCAGAGTCACGAAGTCCTTGTACCTTTCTCCCCTCCATGTGCACCTCCTGGCGGTGCCCTTGTCGATTATCAGAGGCGGCCTGGATGGGGTTCACCTCGTGCAGGGTTCCTAGCGGTTCCTCCAGGGTTGCCCCTGTCTCTGGGTTCTGGTATGATTCGGCCTGTATGCAGTGTACGGCCGCTCTGTTACTCGGTGCTGCGTTATTCCAGCTGGGCCTAAGTCGATTCCGTGGGCAGTCCCTCTGAATGTGGCCATGATGGTTGCAGGTATGGCACCGAATTGGCGGACGTGCTGAATACCTAAGGGGGTAGGTATTTTGACTTACCCCAGGTCGTGGTTGAGTCGTGGGGCCCCCTGCGGTACTTGCCGATGCGGAGGTGGATGCTGGTCTGGCCTGTGCGGGCCAATCTCTCCGGTTATCCTGAAACTCGTCTGCCAGCTTAGCAGCCTCCTGGAGGGTGTGTGGTTTTCTGTCCCCGATCCAATTTTGTAGGTATGCAGGGATTCCGTTGAAGAACTGCTCCAGGACCATCAGTTGGAACAGACCCTCCAACGTGTTAACTTGAGCGGCCTCCAACCACCCCTTCGCAGCTCGCTTTAGCTGGTGTGCCCATTCCACATGAGTGTCCTTAGTGGGTTTTTTAATGTCCCGGAACTTCATGCGGTACGCCTCGGAGGTGATCACATACCGGACTAGAATGGCCTGTTTCACTTTATTATAGTTTCTACTATCTTCATCAGGTACTGCCCAGTACGCTTCCGCGGCACGACCAGATAATCTCCCTGCTAGTAGGGGTACCCGGTCCGCATCGCTGATGTCTAGTAGCAAACACAGCGTCTCTAAGTACTGTAAGTAGTCGTCCACGCCACCGTCAGCCTCCGCATAGCTTTTGAAGGCTTGGTAGGGAATTTTGGCTTTCCCTGGGAGGATATTGACGGGCGTTGCAGCTCTTTCTCCGGCTTGTGGATTCCTTTGCGCCCTCCTGAGCATGATGTACTCCTGTACATCAGCGAAGAGCCTGCTAACCATCTCTGCAGATGGTGGTTCCGGGAATAAAGCCATTCGTATTCTGAATTCAGTTGCAAATTCGTTTGGTTCTTCCTCCATTGGAGGTGCTGCAGCAGCTGCTGCTCTGTCTCCTTCCATTAGTTCTGTAATTAGGACAGCCTTTGCCTTGTTACTGGCTATTGCTCCTCTTGCTTCCAGCAGCTCCTTTAGTGTGCTTCGTTTTAGCAGGGCATAATTCGTTCCCATTCACCGGCCGTTCGTGGGTTTCCACTTGTTCCTGGCTCCGGTTTCATCCGAATGGGATAATTCCCGAATTGCTGCTCCTTCTCCTTTATTCGTTTTAATTCTGCCGACCGTTGCTTTGCTGTGTAGATTCAATCCCGTCGCTTGCCACCAATTGTAGCGGAGAGGCAGTATAATCCACAATATCTCCTCTGGGTAACAGGAATAACATAAAATAATCCAGGGGAATAAGCACAGCATACAATAATCCCGGTAGCGTTGTAGTAATCCTTCCTTCCCAAGAACTAGACGACACATAGGCTGGGAGTCAACTGAAGTTTTATTCACAGGACACTGTATTTATGGGATTCCCCATGCAAGGGGTTTCCCTACTGACATTACAGGGGTTGTACAGTAGGGGACTACATGGGGAACTGCCCAACACATACATTTCTCCCATCGTGCACTGCTGGACGAGAGGGATACTCCCACTGGAATATACAGTTAATGGGATTATCCCTCCATGCAGCTGAACTTACATTTTACATTAAAATCCATAACTTTAATAATATTCACTTGTTTTACACGAATGGACGTTCGGTAGATAGCTGGAGGCTGAGCGCATAGTTCGTGGAAATACCGCTCAGCTCCCAGTCTAACTAACCGAACGCCGTACGAAATACACATTATTTCCAACATACGGTTAAAATAGCGATTGATATTAGGGGAACAAACTACCGAACGGCCTGGGCTCCCGAACGGCCTGGAAGTCCAGCGGGGTTCGCGCCGTCGAGTAGCCATTTTTAGTTCCAGGTGCTCGACGGCAAAACCCCGCTGGGCTAACAAAGGAATCAAGATGGCCGACCGCCGCGGGGTCGGTAGCCGAACGACGGCCACCTAGGGAAGTCTTTAACTACCGATTACAACAATGTCCTCCTGTGTGTGGTCGACCGTTCGGTAGGTCATTCATTTCACGAACAGTGTTTAAACTCACTGTTCGTGAAACTGCATAGGCAATGGTGGGTTTCATGTATTACAAGCATACGAACGCTCTTGTTCGCATGAACGCCCCATACTACATTACAATTGGTTCTTACAGCCAGCAAACTTTATAATATCCACACATGCAATAGTCTTAAGTGGCTAGGTTTGCCACAGCCTACTTCTGAAAATAAAATTTCTCTGACAGTCAGGAATACAGGGACCTAGATGCCTCACTATATTATACCCTATCTTTGGTGTGACGTACATACCATAAATCTCTCCACGGGTTTTTTGGCAGGGCTGGACTGGAGTGGGATAGTACATACAGTTATTCAGATTATTCCACTCTCTCCCTATCAGTCGACAGTCTCACGGACGGACATCCTGATTCAGACCCGTCACCAATACCCGATTCTGTTTTTTTCCAACCTGCCTACTCTTCGAACCACTCTCGACTCCTTTGCGATCTACTACATCACGTGACGACTCTTCTTAGTTTATGCAGGTCCCAATATCCCCATGGACCACTTATCACTCTTCGACGAGGATACCTTTGGATGGAAATCTCAACCTCTATGTATGTTTGCCCTCATTTTTGGTATTTCTAGGCTTCACAATTTCCCAGAGTAGTCGATCCTCATTTCACTAACAAATTCAGTTTTGGAACCCTGATTGGACACTTTCTTGGGAGTACTTTGCCTACCACAGTCGCAGGTTCTGCAATCCAACCGGAGTACTGAAAACATCTAGTATACGACTAGTTTTTTCCCGCACTCTTGCCAGCGTAGCAGATTCATTCTCAGATGAGACCACTCGCTTTGTAGGTCATGAGGGAACGAAAGGACCCTATTCGGTTCTGTTATGGAGTTGGTGGTGGAATCAGACGCATTGCTTGAGGTTGGAGGTTGTTTGCACAACCACATCACCTGGTGACCCTGGCACGACCGGAGGAGCCATCTTCCACATCAAAAGGTCGAGACCTGATGGCAGTTTTTTTCTCGTGATTCCAAATGACCTTCGGAATTGTGCACCTGCAGTTCATGGACCGTATTCTAGGAAACAGGTCGCACCCCCATGTACAGTGGAACTAATGGCGGATTTAATTATTTCCGCAATTTGTGGTATACCGACAGCTGGTATCTTTATCGATCCATCTGCTGTCACTTCTCGCAATTGGAAGGTCCATTTAGGATTGCTCTAGTTATCTCCCAGAATAGGTACCAGCGAAACAAACATCGTTGGATTTGTTGGCCTGGGCGTTAAAACAGCAAATATAAAGCCTCCTGTCATGTTATAAAATTGTAGGTTATACTAGCTTTAGTATACCTATAATCTTAATTTTATTAATGACAGGAGGAATATTTCCCTCCCATTCTTATCCCTCCCTTGTTTAACTTTAATAGTTTGGCTTAATCGGTACGTATGCAACTCTGCTTGTTGTCTCTGCTACCTGTCACTTGTTCTTTTATCCGTTTCTTCTGGTTGTTACTATGCCTCCACGTTTTGTTCAGAGTACATTTCATTGGCTAACCAACCTTTTCGATTCTGTTTTTTTCTCGTTTCAGTTTACAGTCCGTCAACGCTACCTGGTTTGACAGTTCTTCTCGGAATGGTGGACATCGTTGTATTCATTGTATCTAGGACTTAGTTTTTTTCCATTATTTTTCTGCCTTTTGTTCTGTTTTGGTCGAAACCTGAAAGAGGAAATTATGTGTGGGGAGGGGAGTTTTATAGTACCCAACTTTTTTTATGATTGGTTGTTTTTCTCTGTGTTAATGTGCTGCTGTGGAGTTCTAGTAAAGAGAGACTTAAGCAAATATGAAGCCTCCTGTCATTAATAAAATTAAGATTATAGGTACAATAAAACTAGCACAATCTACAATTTCCATTCATTGTGGCTTATTTTCACAACATACTAGTTTATTATCATTTTTTTGGTACTTTTTTATTTTTTATTGATTTAGCTTATCTTTCCACGTCTCTTTTGATTGCTGGTTTTTCTACATCGATTATTGGCAGACTAATTTGTTGACTATATAAAAATTCACACTGGTTTTTAATACATAATAAAAGGTTATGTTTAAACTAGACATCTCCACATTTTCCTTATATTTTCAATTTGAGGGCTCAACCCCCTTGGTCTTGTGGATGACATTTCTCTTTTTGAATTGTTGCATATACAGTCTCATACAAGATTTTATATAATGGACACACACACAGAAGCTGTGTCTTCACATCAACTCATACATGGAGCACATAGTGGATATGTATAGTTAGACTGTGTACTCATAGTAATTCAGAGTATATAGTGGACACACACTGATGTGCTTCAGCCTAGCTCATACACAGAGATTAAATGAGTCACATATAGTGAGGCGTGTCTTCACACCAGTTCATACAGAGAGGCTATCTTGGACTCATATGCTGATTTAGATAAGCATTGGAGTATATTCGAAGCATGGGCTTGTCACCTCAGGGATCTGTACTTGGTCCCATTTTCTTTAATATTTTTATTAGTGATATTGCAGAAGGTCTTGTTGGTAAGGTATGTATTTTTGTTGATGATACTAAGATATGTAACAGGGTTGATGTCCCTGGAGGAAAAAGCCAAATGGAAAATGATTTAGGTAAACTAGAAAAATGGTCAGAGTTGTGGCAGCTGACATTTAATGTGAATACGTGCAAGATAATGCATCTTGGACATAAAAACCCAAGGGCAGAGTACAGAATATTTGATACTATCCTAACCTCAACATCTGAGGATAAGGGTTTAGGGGTAATTATTATTATTGGCATTCATATAGCGCCAACACGTTCCGTAGCGCTTTACAATATAATTGGAGGGGGAGATTTAACAATAAATGAGACAATTACAAAAACTTACAGGAACAATATGATGCTCAAACAAGCTTACAGTCTATGGGAGGTGGGGTATAAAACACAATAGGGAATAGCAATCAAGCAAGGGACAGGTGTGTGTGGTAGAGGTTACTCTGGGAGGCCATAAGTTTTCCTAAAGAGATGGGTTTTAAGGCACTTCTTAAATGATTGAAGACTAGCGGTAGGCAAGTTATTCCAAAGAGAGGGAGCTGCCCGCGAGAAGTCCTGCAAGCATGAGTTGGCTGTACAGGTGCAAGCAGCAGAGAGGAGAAGGTCACGGGCAGAACGGAGAGACCGAGAAGAGGCATACTTATGGATCAGTGAAGAGATATAGGACGGGCTAGAATCGTTCAGTGCTTTATAGGTATGTGTTAGCATTTTGAATTGACTCCTATAGGATACAGGCAGTGGCGTACATACCAGGGTCGCAGGGGTCGCGGCTGCGACCGGGCCCGGCCCACCAGGGGGCCCGGCTGCCCCTGCGACCCGGTATGTACCCACAGGGCCAGCCTCTTCTCCAGGGGGGCCCAGGAACCGGCCACCTCAGGGCCCCCCGAGGCTGGCCCTGCTGACACCCGGCAGGCAGACGGGAGGGCGCGCGAGGGAGCACTCTCCCCTGAGGGAGCTGAAGAGGAAGCACTTAGGGGAGAGTGCTCCCTCGCGCGCCGGCCACCCAGACAGCCAGCCCACCCAGTGACCGGCAGCCCAGGAGCCCAGCAGCACCACTGGACCCCAGGGAATCCCCCCAGCACTCCAAAAGGTAAGGAGGCTGGGGGGATTAAATTTAAAAAAAAATGTGTTTGTGTGTGTGTGTGTGTGTTAGTGTGTGTGTGTGTGTTTGTGTGTGTGTGTGTTTTAGTGTGTGTGTGTGTGTGTTTGTGTGTGTGTTTGTGTGTTAGTGTGTGTGTTAGTGTTAGTGTGTGTGTTAGTGTGTCTGTTATTGGGTGTGTGTCTGCTAGTGAGTGTCAGTGAGTGTGTTACTGAGTGTGTTTGATGTCTGTTATTGAGTGTGTGTTTGTCAGTGAAAGTGTATGTTTTGTAAGTGAGTGTGTATGTATGTCTGTCACTGAGTGTGTGTCTGTCAGTAAATGTGTGTGTCTGTTAGCTAGTGTGTATGCGTCTGTTCGTGAGAGTGTGTGTGTCTTCAGCATTTACCTTTCTCCAGCGCCGGACTCCCTTGGCGCTGGGGATCCCTCTGTATCTCAGCTCCGAATGCACATGTGCGGCAAAAGGTGTGCGCGCATTTAAACCGCCCATAGAAAAGCATTACTCAATGCTTTCCTATGGACGTTCAGTGTCTTCTCACTGTGATTTTCACAGTGAGAATCGTGGAAGCTCCTCTAGCGGCTGTCAATAAGACAGCCACCAGACGCTGGATTAACCCTCAGTGAAACATAGCCGTTTCTATGAAACGGCTATGTTTTCAGCTGCAGGGTTAAAACTAGAGGGACCTGCACCCAGACCACTTCATTGAGCTGATGTGATCTGGGTGTCTGTAGTGGTCCTTTAAGTGTGTGTGCATACCGCGGTTGCGGGGTCGCAGCCCTGCAACCCCTGCGACCAGGTGCCCGCCGCCATGTGTTGTGGCCCTGACCCACGCCGAGTAAGCGCGCGGGGGGGGGGAGGGCCCACGGATCAATTTTCGCACCGGGGCCCCATGGGTCATGTGTACGCCACTGGATACAGGAAGCCAATGTAAGGACTGACGAGAGGTGAGGTGTGAGAGGACCGACTGGAGAGGAAAATCAGTCTTGCGGCAGAATTCATTACAGAGTTTAGCAGGGCAATGCAGCTTCTGGGAAGTCCAATTCAGAGAGCTTTACAATAATCCATGCGAGAGAGTACTAGAGCATGGACAATCTCCTTCGTAGTATCTTGCGTAAGGAAGGGGTGGATGCGGGCATTGTGAAATTGATAATTATATCAGATGACTTAAAGGTAGGCAGACAATGTAATAGAGCAGCAGGAAATGCTAGCAGAATGCTTGGTTGCATAGGGAGAGGTATTAGCAATAGAAAGAGGGAAGTGCTCATACCATTGTACAGAACACTGGTGAGACCACACTTGGAGTATTGTACACAGTACTGGAGACCGTATCTTCAGAAGGATATTGATACCTTAGAGAGGGTTCAGAGAAGGGCTACTAAACTGGTTCATGGATTACAGGATAAAACTTACCAGGAAAGGTTAAAGGATCTTAACATGTATAGCTTGGAGAAAAGACAAGACGGGGGGGATATGATAGAAACATTTAAATACATAAAGGGAATCAACACAGTAAAAGAGGAGACTATATTTAAAAGAAGAAAGAGTACCACAACAAGAGGACACAGTCTTAAATTAGTGGGGCAAAGGTTTAAAAATAATATCAGAAAGTATTACTTTACTGAGAGTGTAGTGGACGCATGGAATAGCCTCCCAGCTGAAGTGACATAAGGCTATCCTAGACTTAAGATAAGGCCAGGGACTAATGAACATATTTAGAAAATTGGGCCAAATGGTTCTTATCTTCTGTCACATCCACTCTTACAAAAATATCATTCTTAGGTGCTATAAAACACAGCAATCAATGCCACGTGCCTTGACAGCAAGTGTCTGCATTAAACACGTTATATTCAAGTGTGTACTTTAATCAGTCATCCAAGGAAGTTTTTTTTCTTACTGTGGTTATAGGTCTCTTCTCTGTCTCCAGGGCTGTGGTATTCAGGCAGACTTTATACAGCCAGGATTATCCATTATCATCACTCTTTTGTAAAATGCATCAATAAACTTAACTAAATGCTCACTACACAAACCTCCTAAATGTGACCTGTTTGTTAGAAGAAAGCCCAAGGTAAGCAACTGGGAGGAACTGAATAAACAGAAACCCAGGTACTTATACTAGTATTTAATCTAAATTACTAATGTACTCACCAGAGGTGGGAAAGCATACTTAACAGACATGGAGACAGATTAACTGCTGCAGACCTGTGTTTCAGCAGCAAATGGAAAGGATTTGATTTGAACAGCTAACATCCTAAACAGTTTAAACTATTGGCTATACTGCAAAGCTTGAATTAAGACCGTGAGTGCACCGTGAGTGCAGCCATTTATGCCCATTGTTATACCGGCACTCCAAGCTTTTCATTCAGGTAGGTTCTTGACGAATTCCAGCTAATCAACATTCACCAGGACATCACAACTAAGTAGAGTATCGCACGAATACCAGCTTTATATAGGACAAAAAAAGGTCTTAACTCACCCCTTAAGTAGCATCTCAATCAGCTGAGTGTCTGGCGAGTCCCTGGCAACCCAGAAGTTCCGCCCCCCCGTCAACAATGAGGGTCTCATCCAATGAACCTAAGGAGCACCGTCACGAAACTATGGGAAACAGAGATGCCAATCAGTTATTGGTTCCTCCCTCATGTACGGGTGCCCTAGAGAGACAAAACTCTTCAAGGAAAAGAGAGAACCACTCACCTTCTGACATCAGCCTCAGTGTGTTTCCATGATGACCGGGACACGCCGGAAAACACAGCTGTTTTAATAAAAGGGGAAAATAATAGTTAAGATATGTATTATTTTCTAGGAAAAACATAAGCGTATATACACCTCAAATATAAACAAACATCAAATCATAACATCATCTAGAAAACAAGTGTTGATAATATCCCCATAAATATAAATAAGGATGCAGAAAAATAAAACCCTGGTAAACCATCCACATAAGAAGACTTTCTGATGAAACATATAAAAAGCATTTGCCAAATAATTTTTTTTTGACTGCATTAGCACTTTACCCATTACACTAATTGATAGCAATCCATCATCCTCGTTATATATACACTCACACTTTATACAGTGTAAGGGTTTAGTACACATGATTACTTTTTATTTTGCAAATG